TAATTATCTGTCAATTGCTTTTACAATAAAGCTCAGGCTTTATTGTTACATCCTTGAGAGTGCCCAGCACCAGGCTTATCAAAAGAAGGTAAAAGTTTATATGTAGGCATATACACTTTCCTGCCCACCAGTTCCCAAATAACTGACATGGAAACTCGATACTAATTATAAATGATCAGCAAATAGCTCAGGTTTGTTATATTTTTAATAATTTAGAAACAATCTTATTTTACATATCAATTCCAGTTCCCTTTCCCTCCCATCCTTCCATGCCCCCCCCCGCCTACCCCCCATCTCATCCTCCTTCCACTTCCCAGGAAAGGTGAGGCCTCCAAAGTCTGTCACATCATTTGGGGGTGGGCTTGGACTTTTACAATTTAATTAGCCCATACTTATTATCTCTGCTTTGCCATGCGAATTGGTATCTTTTCTCAGTACAGCATGCCCATCTTGCTTCTCTGTGTCTGCTGGCGACTCCCAATTCCACCCTTCTCCTCCCAGCATTCTCAATTTGGCTCTCCCATGTAAACTTGCCCTGTTCAGCTATTGGTCAGTCAACTTGTCTATAAAACCAATCATATATTCACTTGGTTAAGGTCAGGGAGCTGGTAGTTACATGCTGTGTACCAGAACTGTATCTTGTGAATTTCTGTTAAAATTCAGTCTTTCTTCTGGTGTCTAGGATATTCTAAAGATGAAAGCCCTCCTCGTGTTCTCTGTCATCCTGGCAGTAACAGTCTGTCTCCCAGTGAGTACTCATTTAATCTCTACAGAGTATTTATGAATATTTGTTATGATTCCTGATGCCTGATATTATTAGTCTCTCTACACACTTTAGTTTATAAAGACACTGAAAACCTGACCTGTAGCACTGTATTTCAGAAAATCTCACATGCTCTTCGGTGCACAATTATATTCCGTGTAGTTTGTGTTTAGTAAATGTAGATATTAAAAAAATATATACTAAGAATTAGGAGAATCTCTCAGTGCTATAGCACTTACCTGATAGTTGTCTTTGGTGTGATAAAAATCATAACCAAAAGCAACCTGGGGAGGAAGGGATTCTTTGCAGCTTACAACTCTTAGGGCATAATCTCCCACTAAGGGAGGTCAGAGTAGGAGCTAAAGACAGGAGCAGGAGGCTAGCACTGAAGCTGAGGCCGGGGAGAAGTGCTTCTTACCGATTTGCTCCTCCTGATTTACTCCTCATGCTTTCTCATCTCACTTAGGATCACCTGCTCAGGGGGAGTACTGCACATAGTAGTCTGGGCCCTTCCATCAATAACTAAAAAAGACAATGCCCCTAGACTTGCCCAAAGAAATCTGATGGAGACATTCTCAGTTGAGGTCCTTCTTCCCAGATAACTTTGTATTATCTGAAAAGAGGGACCTCAATTGAGAATATGTGTGACGCTGACAAAAACCAACCTAGACACTAGCTAGCTATGAGAAGCCAAAGGGTTGATTGGTGATCCTCAGTACCACAAAAAGTAAAGGCAATAATGATGCATGGTAATGTTTTTCCAGAACTTGGTGTGTACTTCATCCAGATACCCAAGGCCTATGTAGTAATGAATAGCATGAAACAGTATTAGACAATAGCTGAATTATTGCTCATGTGTTTTCTAAGCACAAGTTAAATTAATTTCACTGTTGGCCCTTTAGGTGCCCCAGGACCAGGAACGAGAAAAACGAAGTGTGAGTTGCTTTTCCTTCACATGTCAGGTTTCTGTATGAGACAGTCACAACTGTGGGTAAACACATTAAGTTATCCAAATCTCTCAGCCTATGCAGAAATTCTCAAAAGTCTTCAGGTATTAGCATGAGGCAGATGTATAGAATTTTATTTTTGTAGGGATACCTGAATTCAGTCTAAATTAATTGATTAATATCTTCTCATGTAACATGACACACAGAATTGGTTGTGAATCACTCTGTGGCAAAGAGGACCCAGAGCCCAATTACCTAAAACTCCACACTAGGCTCCACCTCTTAAAGGTACCAACTTCCATTAGCATCAAGATAAAGATCAAGACTTTTTTTTTTCATTTTACATTTAACCATAATTCTACCTCCCACCCCTCCTCCCACCCCTCATTGCCACCCATCTTACCCCCCCTTTCACTCCTCCCAATGGGTAAGGGTCTCCATGAGGAGTTATCAAAGTCAGGCACATTAAGTTGGGGCAGAACCAAGCCCCTACCCCATGCATTAAGGCTGAGCATGGCATCCTAGGGAATGGGCTCCAACAAACCAGCTCATGCACCAGGAATAGATCCTGGTCCTACTGCCACAAGCCCCTCAGATAGTTCAAGCTTCACAACTGTCTCCCATATACAGGGGGCCTTGTTCAGTCCTGTGGAGGCTCCACAGCTGTCAGTCTACAGTTAATGAGTTTCCATGAGCTTGGTTCAGCTGTCTCTGTAGATATCCCCATCATGATCATGACCTCCCTTGCTCATATATGTCCTCCTCCCTCTCTTTGACTGGATTCCTGGAACTTAGCCTAGTGTTTGGCTGTGGATCTCTGCATCTGCTTCAATCAATATCTGGATGAAGACTCTATGATGACAGTTGGGGTATTCACCAATCTGATTACAGGGGAAGGCCAGTTCGGACACCCTCCCTGCTATTGCTAGGAATCTTAGCTGGGGTCATCCTTGTGGATTTTGGGGGAACTTCTCTAGCACCAGGTTTCTCCCTAACCTTATAGTAGCTCTCTCTATGAAGATATCTCTTTCATTCCTCTCCCACTCTGTCCCTCCCGCCCTTGACCATCTCATTCCCTCCTGTTCTCATCCTCCTTCTCCTTCCCTTTGCTGCCTCCTCTCCCCCAGTTTGCCTAGGAGAACTCATCTAACTATCCATCCCAGGGTGATTCATGTGTCCCTGTTAGGATTCTCCTTGTTAAGACCTAATCTTTAACAGATGATCCTCCTAAGAACATTTGATGTCCCATTCCAGATAGTAGTAGGCCAGCCGTGAAGACCAAAATAGGGAAAAATTCAGGGAAACATTATTTTGGTATAAACAGACAAGCAAAAACATTCAAGAAAAAAATTTTAAAGATGCAAAAAGTATATGTATATATGTGTTTGTATGTATATTTATATAACATATATATGTTATATATATATATATATGAAATCTTGTTAACTGAATAGCATGACCCAAAGGGGGTTAGAAATAAAGAATTTGCTTTAATTTGCATGACTTAAGGATTAACCTGGGAATGAAGAAATGACCGATATATATATATATATATATAAATTGATATGAAGTAGGTGATGTGCTCCGATGCATATATCCCAGCAGCAGTCTAGAAACTCAGCACTCTATCATATACATCAAGAACAAAGAGGACATGGTTAGCTAATGTCAGCAGGAGGTTTCTGTGTGGGAACACTCTTGGGTTACAGTCATTCAAGAGAAGGAAGCTCTGCTTGGTAATTTTCTGCACACACTGGTTTCCACTAACCATATGCATTTAATAGGTGGGCTATGGGAAGGCCTAGCAATTCTTCTGAGCCTGACCCTGATTTGCCATTCCCATGAGTCTGAGATATTGGGGTCCTTGACATGACCATAATATAGGATAAAATGAGGGGAAGAGATCCAGAAGGAGAGATGGTTTCCAACATGTGATTTGATGAATGTTCATTTGAGGCAAATATATATATATATATATGTATATATGTATATATATGTGTGTGTGTGTGTGTGTGTGTGTGTGTGTGTGCGCGCGCGCAGGCACCTTCACCTCCCATCATTGTCTTACAATTATTAGAATAATTTACATTGAATCTAAGATTTGGGGATACAGTTATCTCTAATTTTCTAAAAGGAGATAATCAAGTTCTGATAATTCTACAAATAAAAACTATAAGTAATTTAGGCTCTTAAGCTTTCTCCTTAATAAGGAAAACCCACTTGGAAAAGAGCTGCATCAAGCAAGGCCTTTCTTTTTATCAACAGGCCAGTGACAGCGATGAATCATTTTCAGTGATTTATTGTCCCCCAAACTTTTATCCATTTGGCATATCCCGACCATTCCGAAATCAAGGCAATCCACGGGACTTTCCTCCTGTCAATGCCTTCTCTCACTACGCAACTCCGTCTCCTGATTCAAAATATATGAGAGAAAGGTCTAATTTCTAAGATGAAAAAAGTGGTGAGTATTAGTAATACAGTCACTTTGGTTGTTCTACTTTCTATTTGTGGGTGTGAATACATCACTTCATGAAAACAGATATTACACTCTTCCCAGCTATTAGGATCCCATATATTTCAGCACTTTTCTCAGGTAGATATCACTGGTACCAATAATAGAGATACATATTATGACCCCTTAAGATCCAATAACAGCAATTTATTAAGTCCTCATTTGTTTTGACACAATAAGACAAGCCCGTTATCTTATTTTTGTTTGAACATTTTCTATTAATACAAACAATTTTTCACTTGGGACTGAAGCAAAGGACTAGAGAAAGCAAAATCTTAATATAAAGCTCAGACTGGATGAACTTACAGTCTGCATCCCTAGAGGAAGGTTCATCCTACTCCTTAGAAAAATAACAAGGTTTTTAATGCTAAACCACAAAACATTATTCCATGTATAACATTAAAAATGAAACCCACAGTCTTCCACTTAAAATAGATATACTGTCATCTCAACATACCAGAATCGAAATGGTGAGTCTGCAAGTCCTAGATGAATTGGAAAAGTATAGGTTATACTGAAGACTAAACACAGGCCCATAAGATTATTTTAGAGTTCCAAAAGCTTCTCATTGTATAATGTATGTACATATATATATATATGTATATATATATTATAATGTATGTATCTAATGCATGTGTATACACACTTATGGAAAGGCATTTCCTACTCAGCATTCATGGACTGAATGTTTTCCAACTCTTGAACTATATACATTACGCTATATACAGATACGCTAAAAATACAATGTGTAAGTATATGTAAATGTATTTTACAAGTTCCGCAGAGAATGACACATTTGGATTAATAATTATATATATACCATTTATTTCAGGCTACTTTGAAATTGGATGTGAGCCACTTCCTTGAAGGATCAATGTTCCTGTTAAAAGAGAAAAATAAACGCAATTGAAATAGCATATGCTATGGTCTATTTAGGAGTCTTTTTACTAAGTGCAAAAGGGGACTGTATACGTCTCTAACACTTTTACATGACTTTTTAAATTTTCATTTTAATTTGTTACATTAATAAAATGTAACATTTTACTAATTTTTGAGAACTTTATACATGTATGCAATGTATTTTGATCATAGCCATCCTCAACACACTCCTCCTCACTTCTCCCAGATCCCCATCTCCTTCTCATTTTTTAATAACCCACCAAGTTCAATTTGTGTTGTTCATAAACTCTTGGGTATATTACCATCCACTAGAGCCAGACCTTTAAGAAACATTGACTCTCTTTCTCCCAGACACCATCGCCTGTCCATAACATTTTAGTGTGGAGGGAAGACTTTGTGAGCCCCTGCCACTTCATGCTGGAATACTGAGTGACTTGATATTGTACAGGTCTTATGCAGGCAACCAGAGCTGCAATGAGCTCGTGAGTGCAGCAGTCCTGTCAGGTAGAGAAGAAACTGATGGTTCCGGGTTTTCTCAACCTCTGACTCTTGCAATCTTTCTACCATCTCTCCCACTATTTCCACAGAGCCTTGGGTAAGGAATATGATATAGAAGTCCATTTGGGGTTGAGCACTACACAGACACTTATCCTTAGAATTTTGACCAATTTTGAGTTTCTGTACTAACCACCATTCATAACACAAAGAAACTTCTCCAACAAGGTCTGAAAGCTGCAATAACTTATATCTGGGGAAAGAGACATGAATATAAAAAACAGTTTGATACTCTGTTCACTTGTCAAAATAATGTATATATTAAAACAAAATGAAACATGAAACTTAAAATATTTTAATATACACTTGTGTGTATTTGTACCCAGGCAAGTGTCTATGCATGTACACATATACATGTGTAGAAGTCAAGTTCAACCTCAAATGTTGTTCCTTGATGTACCATCCACCTTACTTTTGGACACATGACTTCTCATTGGCCTGGTGCTTGCTAGTTAAACTAGGATGGCTATCCAATAAACCCCATGAATCCATGTGCCTCTACCCTCCCAACATTGAGATTACAAGCACAGGCCACCATGCCTGTTTTGTTTTGTTTTATGTTAGCTCTGGTTATCAAACCCAATGTTCATTAGCTTACATGGTATTTTCTATTGCTATGAAGAAACATCGTGACCATGACAACTTATAAGAGAAAAAGTATTTGATTGGGGGCTTGCTCACGCTTTCAGGACGTGAGTCCATGACCATCCTAGCAGGGAGTGTGGCAGCAGGCATGCAGGTCTGGTGCTGGAAAAGTAGCTAGGAAGTTACATCTAAGTCACAAGCACAGGGCAGAAAGAGAGCAAACTGGGAACAGTATAGACTTTTAAATCTCAAAGACTACCCCCAGTGACACAGATCCACTAACAAGGCCACACTTCCTAATCCTTTCCAAGCAGTTACACCAACTGCAGAATGAGTATTCAAATATATAAAATATGGAGGTCATTTTCTGTCAAAACATAACACATGGAAAGCACTTTGCCTCACAAAGTTGTCTACCAGCCCTTAATATGCAACATACAATCATTACACACTTTTGCCAGTGGACCTGTCAGAGGAGCAGCAGATGGCAATTGAAGTCCAGGGTCAACTCCCAGGAGGTGAGGCCCAATGGATAAATCTCAGACAGGCAAGGTTCTGAGACCACAGATCCCAGAAAGGCCTTTTGCTTCTGCTGTGCATTTGTATGTTTCCTGCTGTCATCTTGCTCTGGTATCTGGCATGGTGTGAATGGGCATAGGGAGATTCTTACTGCCCTTCATGTAATGTGATTATCTCATGGAAATATTTCTTTTTACTGGGCATTTTTTCTGTGGATTATAATGAAGATGATTTACCCATAAGCTGTACTGTTTTGAACTAATGAATTTTTATGGATGCATTTTTAAAATTAATTTTATTTAAATTAAAAACAATCTTATTCTGCATAGAAATTCAAGCTCCCTCTCCCTTCTGTCCTCCCATTACCCCACATTGCCCCATCCCACCTCCCCATCCACTTCTCAAGGAGGGTATAATGATTTTATACAACAATAGTGTTGTATGATTGAATAGGTTGATGATTGAAAATAAGTACAAGGAGTGTCACACAGCTAGGGCCTGAGTTTCACTTAAGGAGCTGCATGGACTGTAGTTTAGGTTAATGACTAATGAAAACAACTGAGACTCTCTGAAGAGGGAGCCATTGAACTGAATTTAGGGAATAAAATTGAGACAGACCTAGAGCAGGAGCAAAGACACACTAGTGAGTTCCAGAAAACAAAACGACATCCAAGCTACTACAAAGAGAGGAAGAGTAACAAAGGGAACTGGGATAAAAATCACTCAGAACCCAGCAGTTATAGGTAAGGTGTGTGTGTGTAGTGGGGGAGCATTCTAAAGTATCACAGAAAGACACTGAAAGATTGCAAACAAGAAAGGTCTCAGATATGTTATATTCAAAACTGCTTTTACATAAATTTGTGAAGAATTACTGAAGGATGATAGTGTAAGTGTAGAAGAGATGGGGTACCACTGGGCTTGTCTAGGCATAAAACACAAGTGGTTGGAACAAAGGGGGAAAGGTGATATTAGAACACAGTTGTAGATCCGGAAGCTGTCACTATTTGAGGCTTAAAGTTCTTCTAATGGAGAGAAGTGTCAAAATTGAAAACCCTGGATTTTACTCTCAAGTCACTTGGGAATATCAAAGTACAGTTTAGTGAAGCAGAAAAGACATCATAAAAGACTAGCTTAGTAGTTAGAAGTGAATGAAGATGACACTACTTTGTTCCTGCAGCCTGGAGTCTATTTCACATCAATGGGGATATTATATGTATATATTATATGTATTTATAGATGCTCGACATCTGACCAGGAGACCAATCAAGTAAGCAGCACTGATAGTAGTTAAGGTAAGAGGAAGCCAGGCGTTGGTGGTGCATGCCTTTAATCCCAGCACTCAGGAGGCAGAGGCAGGTGGATCTCTGTGAGTTCCAGGACAGCCTGGTCTACAGAGCGAGTTCCAGGACAGCCTCCAAAACAATACAAAGAACAGGAAAGCCTCCAAAACAATACAGAGAAACCCTGTCTCAAGAAACCAAAAAAAAAAAAAGAAAAAAGAAAAAGATAAGAGGAAAGAAGGGAGTTAACCAAAATGTCACAAAGGTCAGGGAAAGAAAAAATAGAGCAAGGGTGGGCTCAGAAAGACTCTGTGAAATCTTTCATAAAGTCGAGGAAAATAAAAGAAACTAAGAGAAAATTTGAGAACACCTGGCGATTTATAAGGGAAAGTTGGAATAAAGCATCACAGCAAAAGAAAAACACGGAGTGCCAAGGTGCTAGGAGCTGTGTCAGAAGATCTGGTAACTAGTGTCAGATTTGAATGTACCGTGATCACTGATGTGTGCATTTGAAGTCATTAAAAGAATGGACAGCTATTGAAGTAAGGCCTTGACCATATTAGAAAAGTAATGCATTGTAGAAATTAAAACTTGTCTTACCCCTTCCTTTTTGTCTGTGCCTTTTTGATGACTCCAGAGATCTAGAGCTCTGATCACTAAAGCATCAACTCAGAAGTACATTAACACCAAGGTAACGATCACACTCACTGAACTCCAAGAGACATGAAGTGTGGATTCCTTTAAACCAGGACTGGTAAAAACAAGATGCCACTACAGTGGAGTGTCTGCTCACAGTCTCTAAGACTCTCCTTAGACCAGTGGTTCTCAACCTTCCTAATGCTGACACCTTCCAGTTTCTCATGTTGTAGTGACCACCAACCATAAAAGTATTTCCATTACTATTTCATAACTGTAAATCTACTACTGTTATGAATCATAATGTAAATATCTGATATGTGACCCCTGTCATCCAACCCCCAAAAGGGTCATGACCCACATGTTGAGAACCATTTCTCTATATATTCTCTATAGTCAGATAGTCATTCTATTCTATCCCTTAGTGTCTTCTTTTAATAAGAACTATGTGTGTGCTAACTGTGTAAGAGAATCAACTGCAAGAGAGAAAATTTTATCTTGTACTTCAGTCTTAGAAATTCAATTTCCATGAGAATCTTACCCTTATTTTTTATGATACAATGAAAGTCTCCGAAGCATAAAAATTTTTATACTAAAATGCGAGCCATTCAGATGTAATAAGAATAGAGCCCGGTGGCAGTGGTGGCACACACCTTGAATCCCAGAACTCAGGAGGCAGAAGCAGGCAGATCTCTGTGAGTTCGAGACCAGCCTGGTTTAAAGAGCTAGTCCAAGGACAGCCTCCAAAGCCACAGAGAAATCCTGCCTCGAAAAACCAAAAATAAATAAATAAATAATGTGCAATAGAAATCTGAAAGAGTCCTTTATACTGCAACTGTTGCCTGACACATCGTACTTGGAGAACACAATAGTTTTTAAGATCATTGCTGAGAAGTCAGATTAAAAACAGGAAGTAAAACTACATTCATATGAACATGAATAAAGAAAGAATAATTACAGTAGATATTAAAAGTAAAAAGAAAAGACTAGCTGGGAGCTCAGTGACTCTGAACTGACAGCAGGGAAACCTGCACAGGACAAACTAGGCCCTCTGAATGTGGGTGACAGTTGTTGGCTTGGGAAGTCTGTGGGGTTACTGCAGTGGGACCAGGATTTTTCCCTAGTGCTTGAGGTGGTTATTTGAAGTCCATTCTCTTTGGAAAGATACCTTTCTGAGCCTAGAAAGGAGGGGGTCTGTTGGGCCAGCCTCAAAGAGATGTGTTTGGCTTCCTTGACTCCCCATGGACTCCCCACTCTGAGGAGTGGATAGAGGGAAGATGGGGAGAGTAGGAGCAGAGAGGGAATGGCAAATGGGATTGGTATGTAAAATGAGAAAAGATTGTTTTACAATAAAAATAAAGTGATAAAAAAGAAAACACTAGTAAAGTATTCCAACAAGAGTGCCTGTGAGTAAATAGTTATCTTTCCACTTATTTCAAATTGTTTTTTACTCGAAATATGATCCTCATAGCAGCCTCCTACCCAGGCCCACTGAGTGAACAATTGGATATTCATTATCAGTACCCAGACAGAAGAATGTTAAACGTGGACTAAGAAGCCTCATGGCTATCTTCTCATAATACAAGTTGGTTTTGTATTCCAAATTGGATATCACATGACCAAGAGTGGTGAATTTGTTTCAAACTAATAAATATCTATAATTGGGGACTTACTCAGGAATGTGTAACTGTCCTTGGAGTATTACAGGTGTGAAAGTTTTATATTCTTTTTACTTTTCTTTGCAAAACACTAGAACATCTCTATACATACACATTTGAGTTTATTTAATTCAACTCAAAACCCAGTAGAGATCACTCAAAGTTCCTCAGACCCAGATTGCCTTTGACAGGAATGTCCAATGCCTGAATGCCAATAGCATTTAAAGAAATGTTAGACTTGCACTCCAGAACAGTAGAAGTGACTGGTTTACTCAGTTAACATTTTGTACAAATGCCTGAAACATAACCTGAATAATGCATGTGGATCAGAATATAAGGCCCAGGTTTTCAAGGCCCTTCCTTGGGTGGATTAGCATTTGAAGCTGGTGGTTAATCCACTGCACAAAAGCTCTTCTGTAGAGGTTTTCTTGACACTAAGTCCCCTATTGAAGTGATAATTTTCAAAAAATGTCTGAATCTTTGGTATTTTTGAACCAAATACCAAAACAGCTTAAAACTAATATTATTCTTAATTTATGGCTGAGAAATGACAGAGTAGAATAAGACACCTTCAGAATTTGAGGATTGACAGAATTTGAGACCATAAACATCCACTTTAATCACTCGTCCCTTGATATCCAAAATAAACAGTACATAGACAGCCTGGTAGTATTTCACAGACAACACCCTGAATAACAGAAATCAACTTCTAAGAAATAGAATGTCCAGACTTACTGTGTACAGGCTGCACAAGTATTCTAGGGATCAGAACAATGCTTCCAACTTTCTAGGTCATATGATAGTTCCTTGAAACAGACAGAAATACGTGAAAATTCTACAATGCTGATATTATTTCTTGTTTCCTTTCTGGCAATTCTTCATTGATTCTGGCAAAAGACCTTCATCTGATGAGGTCTTCAGAAAGTGAAGTCACTATTAGCATTACTACCAAAAAAACACAGAAAAAGCAAAATATCCTTTCCTGGATTATTTAGGCAAAATACTTGTCTACCTACATTTTACCAAAATAGTAACAACATTGGCAGCTTTACATCCCAAGCTCCAAATTAGAATGATCTGTCTTTAGAACAGAATGATTATTCCCAGCACGTTAAAAGTCCATAAAACAAGGCTTTTCACATAAAATAATGAATCCAGCAGTGTGCTTCAGGGTTTGAGCCATGAGTATTGTGAGAAATACATGCTGAACCCAAAATGCAAATGATCAGCCTGCATAGTGATAAAAATGTCTTATGCATGAATTTATTCTACAAAAGGCAGCATAGTTAAGATTCTTAATTTTTTATTTTTAAAAGTAAAGAGCTGTAAAATTGGAAGCAAAATAACCAATATGAACCATACTAAATAAAAAGACACTTGAAATCAAAGTTCTCCAAGTAAAACCACTTAAAATGTGAAAAATAATGGTGGCTATTTTAGCAAAAGCTTTCAGTTCAATTAAATGAAATGAGTAGATAAGGAATGCAGTAAGTATATTCTTTTTTCCATTTCATTTAAATTAGAAATAAACTTGTTTTACATGTCAATCCCAGTTTCCTCTCCCTTCCCTCCTCCCCTGTGCCCCACTGACCCCTTATCCCATGCCTTTTCTGCTCCCAGGGAGGGTGAGGCCTTCCATGGGGGATCTTCAAAGTCTGTCATATCTGTGTCTAGGCTGAGAGATTATCTCTCTATGTGGAGTGGGCTCACAAAGTCCATTCATGTATTAGGGATAAATACTGATCCTCTACAGAGACCCCTATATTCTTATACATTTTCCTATAATTTTGTAAAGCACAAAGCATTCATTCTTTAAGGAATTAGTTTTGTTTGTCTTTGTTTTTTTTCTCCATCCTTATGACTAACAGCCCTATTTCCTGCTCTGCAGTGCCCTGACTAGGACTGACCTGTGAATGACCCTGTTGACATAAAATCTTTCCTTTTTTTCATCACCTTATTGGGTGAAAAGTAGGAGGGAAATAGAATATGACTGCTGGTACTAATACCCCATAATTAGTCTCAGTTATTTATCTCGGGTCTTCTCTGCAGCAAAGGGGCCAAGAAAGACCTACTGCCAAGCAAGAGTTGACTCCGGGTGAAGGTAATGGTCCTCAACTGCCCAGGGCACTGATGGAGATACTGGGATGCCACCCAGGTTATTTTGGAATCACACTGTCTTCCTTTAGCCTTGATTACTAAGCTTAAATACACCTAACTATAATTTCAATATTAATTTCTAGATTAGATATCAGATTTTAGATAGTGTTATGAACAAAAATTTTAATCTGTACTTTGTCTTTAAGCTCAGGTTGGGTACCGTCAAATTATACAAGACACTGTGAATTCTAATAAAGATGTTTATAAGACGCCTACTACTCCTGTAGGCAAATAGAGAGGGCTAATTTTGCATGAAACTGAAACTATAATAATTATTCAGATTATTCTAAATCTTACTGCTACTTAAAACTCACAATTCATTTTATTATAGTGTAACTATTACATTTAATTTTGTTATAGTGTATTAAATCATGTCTTTCAAAGCTGAATTAACCCATTAATTTCACAAATGATGTCTCCTTAGCAAGTGATGGAGACAAACCAAAGCACTTACCAGTATGTAGCTGGTACATATGGTTGAGTCTTACCTTTGTACTGAAAGGAGATCTTATGATTTAATGTTAAATACATAAGTCTAATCTCATCTAAGGAATTTTAATAAAGAAATATTATTTTTCAGGTGATAGTATGAAAAGGTAACTTGAAAGCAAGGAATTTAATAAGGAACTCTATCCACTCAAGGAAACATTTTCCTTAGGTTGTCCAAACTTGATTACACATGAGATATTTGCTATTCAGCGATCTCTTAGAGGTGAGGCTAAAGTCAGTTTAGCAAATGACCTTTATAATCCCCTGAGGCTGACTACAGGAGAGGCAAATGGGGTCACATATTCCTTCCTTTTCCCTCCTATGGGGTGGGGCAATCCGAGTCTTGATTCTGTGACTCTTATAAAAGCTTTTCCATAACTCAAGTTTACACAAGTATAGCAAGAATTATAACTTCAGTAAGACACAGTGGATTCCATGCAAAAATACAATATATGGTAACATATTAGAAGTCTGAAGTGTTATTAGCTAAGAACTATTAAAATTAAATGAGCAGACAGGCATTGTGACTCTCTTAGAAAACGACTAACTGATTTCTGTAAATAGCTCAAAGTCATTAAGATTGCCATATCTATATGTCTTATTAAAGCAGTGAAATTGATCATGTCACTTATGTTACTAGAAAAGTAAATTAGATTATGACAAATGCTGTTTCCCAGCAGGTCTACCCCATGTCTGATATATTAATCAATGATCACAAAATGTTAGAAATGACTGTTTTAGCCGGGCATTGGTGACTCACTCCTTTAATCCTAGCACTCAGGAGGCAGAGGCAGGCAGATCTCTGTGAGTTTGAGGCCAGCCTGGTCTACAAGAGCTAGTTCCAGGACAGCCTCCAAAGCAATACAGAGAAACCATGTCTCGAAAAAACAAAAACAAAAACAAAAAAATCCTGTTTTTACAGATAGCAAAGGTAAGGCCTAGAAAGAGGAAATTATATACTCACAGTTACACAGGCAAGGTAGAGCCTAGGTTCAAACTGGGTCCGCTCATCACACTGAACTATTTCCTGTTCACAGAACCATGCCTCATTCTTTAACACAGAGCACTTAAGTCTTTACTTTTAGGTTTTAGACTTTCTAATTTTAGCTTCTGTATCACTTCAGTCAAAATGTCTATGGGTGTTCTCAAAGTTTACCCTTCTTTAAAATGTTTCTCTCTCTAGCAAATACTTTTGAGCAAGTCTTGCCTCACAGACTCTGATGATTATCTGAAATGAAGATTTCTGCTGATAGCAGCCCACCTTTGTGACATTCCCGCTCATTCTGTGGTTTCTGTGTATCATAATTCACTCATCCTTAAGACCCCATGCTGTTCATTGCCAAAGACTACCTCTACTTTCATAATCTCAATGTTTGGCAGAGCACTTATTCTCAGTAGATTTGTATCAAATGAACAGATAATTACATTTTAATGATAACTTCATTAATAATCAAAAATTACCTTGAAACTAATTTTGCTTCAAGTTTGCTGTTTCTCTACTTTTGAGAAAATAGGTTCCCTGCACTGACTAAATGTACCTATAAATTCAGAGGTTTTTTTCTTTTCTCCCCTTAGGAAAGCATTACATACAATCACTTCAAGTTTGTTAGCCAACGAGTCTTAATTTAATTTTTTAAATTTATTTGTAGGTGCAATGATGAGGAATTTTATCATAGTTGTGAATATTCTGGCATTAACTCTGCCCTTTTTGGTAAGCTAACTTCGACTAAATTTTGTGTGTAAGATGTTCAATAAATCTTATATAAGAGTTCCAATGATACGAATATCAAAATAGAGGCATTTCAAGGAGTGTTACAGTTGGTTAATAGTTTTTCTGTGTTTACATGTATCTTAAAAATAAATATTTTTCCAGATATCCATTTGGTTGCCATAATACATACTGCATTGTTCATAGAAAACCTTCCAAGTTCATTTACTATAGTAATCTGTTTTTAAATTAGAAATGCTATAAATATAATTCATAAGCAGTAAGTATACAAATCTTATTCCAGGATCAGAAATCCTTTTGATGAAATTCTGTCCCTCCCATCCTCCAGCCTTCTTAGGATCTAGATGTTTAAAGACTTTAAATACTTAAATTATTTCTCATGATTTCTCTTTCTGTATCTCTTCAGGCTGCTGAGGTGCAAAGCCCAGATCCCACAGTAAGTTATTATTATCTCCATTAGAGACATGAACTCTAAAACTAAATAAACACTTAAATGTTTCAACAAGTTTAAAAGAACTTCAGACATTTTAGAACCCACATTGCTAACTTTGTGTCATTCTTTTTTACTATGTGGCCTAGCCAAGCCCTTCCGAGGTACCCATATCCATAATTAGTTCTATGTCTGGTAGACATGGAATTCTATTTTATGTTTAAAAGTTAACCATGTAAAAGGATCTGTTTCCTTTAACTTTCTAACTAATTTTCACTGTAGTTTAGACTATGTTTATGCTTTGTTTTCACACTCATTTTGCTATTCCAAGAAATGCATCTGCCAGCAGCCAAAGTGGCGGTAGGGGTGGGGCAACCTAGAGAATAGTGTGTGCCTTCTTATTAAGATTATAAAACTTTTAGAGTACAAAGCATTTGATTAAATTACTAAATGTAGACAGTTGTCTGCTTAACAATACTTTTGAGTCAATTCTTGGGGTAAAAATTACCTTTAAAATTTTACCTTGAGTTTAGCATTTAGTTACGTTCATTGACTTGTTGAAATTATGTTATTGTTTTTTTTTGCTGTCAATTGCATGTTAAGAACTTGGGTTTTTCTCTTTGAGTAATAGGAAGTAAGTTTAAGTCATAAGATGAATCCCTTCCTGCTCTATAGCAATTCTTGAATTATTGAGCCTACTTTATAACAAACTCCCCTTCCTAATTTCCTTATTAAGGATTTTAATTAGTAAATATTAACTATACATAATAATGTTCTTCTTTATGACATTGACATACCTATGTGAAATGTACTTGGTCACACTTGACTTCATTTACCCTCTTGTCACTCCTACTGATTTGCTTCCTCTTCTCAAAAAGTCCTTCTTCTACTTCGTATCACTTTTTTAAACTTAACTTTTCTTATTCTTAAAATTTTATACGTGTAAACAAAACATAATTAAGATCACTCACAGAGGTATGTGTAAAAGATCATTTACGTGAGTGTGGGGAACTTACCAGTGGCTATGCCACTGAAGACATGCCTTTCCAAGGAGGTTCAATTGTGTAATGGTTCACACTCTGGACTTCAAAAATGCTACTTCCTCTCCCAGCAACAATTAACTACCAACAGGTCCTCGGGGACAGGGAGTGTTGTGAGCCACCTCCGTGCTCATGATAGAATTTGGACAGGCCGCATCTTGTGCAGGTATTATGTAGACTGTCATAGCTTCTGAGACTTCCAGAGTACAAAAGCCACATCCTGTCTGGAAGATAGATTCGCAAAGGCTTCAGGTCACAAGAACATGAAGAAATAATTCAAATGGAAAGAAGTTTATAGATTTTACCATTCAACTTATGAGCTGTCAAAAGCAAATGAAAATTGCAATGTGATACTTTCTTTTATTTGTCAATTAAATACTTATATCAATATAAAAATCAGTATAATATTCATCTTGTCTCTAATGGAAATGGAAAACAAACTAAAAAAAAGAGTCTCTGCTTTGATTTTTCTCCCTTGTTATTTCTCATTATTTTTCTCTAACTCTTCAGAATGCAGAGGAGCAAGGTCAAGAACAACTGGCTGTAAGTCTGTTTTCAATTATTTATGACTGAAATATAATTTATGTAAATAATAGTCTCTAAAGAGGGATATCTTCTGATTAAAACTCTAATATATTCTGTGTGATCTCCACAGAATCGGCTGGTACCTTTTGATAAGTGAAAACACACTTAAACAAGAGATAATATGAACCAAACTGGATTTTGCCTGGCAGCCTTGGTTTCTTTCACTAGCCCATGTTGGGAGGGCTCAATTGAATGTTCGCTTGGCTTATAAGGCAATTTTCCATGTGGAATACTTAAAGGAAAAAGAACACCAGTAGAACTTATTGTCTGTCTGTCCACTCTGTAAAGTTCAGTTGGAGAAAAGGTCTTGCCTTTAAATCATCCCATTTGCTGGTATTGATGTCTTCATTTGTTGCAAAATGTGGTTGGAGGAATACATTAGCTGTTTCTTTTTATAGGAAAAGTTGCTGTGCAGCAAGACTTTGCTGGTTCATTAATATTGCCATACAAAAATTTTGTAACTGCACATGGTTGGCAGAAATAAATAAAATCAGAAAAGTCCTTAGTGGAGAAAATTAAACAAAAATTTTTAAATCCAAACTTTAAATTGAAAATCCTTCCCATGTTTTTTGTTTTTCTGCTAAAAATATGTTATTTCTAGGGCTGAAAACATTTTTGAACAATTGTCATGTATGAGGTTAGAATACATCCATATGTGTCTGTGAACCTTGTGTGTGTTTGCATCTAATGGGTAAAGTTATCTATGAGACTGTTCTAGGTGCTGCAATTAAACAAACATTATTTTTTTATTGTTACAAGTAATGTTTCACAACATCAAAATCATACATGGAATAGGAAATGTGTATACACAAATCTGATTTAAAAAATAATAATGTAGGATCCCATACTTTCAATACTCTTTTGCTCAACATAAAATCCACAACATTTCAAAATCTGCTAAAGTTTTCTTTGCATTGTGATTTACAATTAGAACTTCTCTGCACAATTTTCCCTTTCTGCAGTGCCACAAAAAGCTTGAAATACTGTATGATCAGAAGAAAGTCCTGCATACACCAGTTCATTATGTGCTGAACAGCAATCCTCATTATGAGCCTAATTACTGCCAATATACGCCATCTGTAGCTGTCACCCCATATGCACATTACCTATGTATTATAAAGCTACTTCTGCTTAGATCACTACCCAAAATCTCCCAATGGGAACCAAGGCCAAATTTCCCCCAGCCCGCTGAGGTACCTCAGCCCATTCCAAGCCCAACCTTTCTTGCCATTCCTACAAATGAAAATGAAGACAGTGTGGCCAACCCAACCATCAATACCATTGCTCCTGTTGAATCTACAATAATTCCTGTCACTGAACAAGTGATAACTACAGTGGCCAATCCAGAAGCACCCACTGTGTCCGTCAATAACCCTGAGACTGCCACAGTCCCAATATCTTCACCTGCAGTGTAAAACCACCAAGGGACCATCAAAGAAGACAATAAACGTAAGTAAACAAAAATAAAACGAACAATTCAGAAAGCAAGCAATGACTTATTTGTACAATCACAAATTCTAAACTAGTGAAAGTGGATAAATTATGTTAAAGGAGAAAGCAAAACAGCTAGCTAGAATTATAATTTGGGATAACTATAGCACTGACAAATTGGTCTTTGCTTCAATAAGAAATGGTAACAGTCTCTTATTACAAAACGAAGAAAACTTGTACTTTTATTAAACATTATCCTGAAAGTTACAATTCTACTTTAATCTGTTAATTTTGTTTCATCCATACTTACATAAACAGTGAAGTGAAATACGTTGTACACTCTCAGTTTGGGGGGTCTAAAGCTACCAAAGTGAAATTTCTCCCATCATGTTGTATACAGGAGCCACAGGTAGTGTTGGGCCTATAATCTCAGATACTAGGGAAATTGAGGCTGCAAGATCACAAGTTCAAGACCAGCCTAGTCTACACAGACAATAGTCAAACCTGAGAAACTTTAGCAAGATCTCGTCTCAAAATTTAAAAACGGAGTAAAAGGACTGAGAATACAATTCATTGTAAAGTTGTTGTATAGCATGTATGAGGCCCTAGGTTCAATTCCCTGTATAGAGAGAAAAATATAAGAAAGTAAGAGGAGAGAGAGAAAGAAAAATAAATCTGTAATAGTACTGTTCTCTCTCTAGCTTTTGTATTAATAGGGCAAAGGAAATTGTGTATTTTTCATGAAGTTCTTTACTTCAGCCCTAACTCCTACAAAGATCTATGAAGTCCAGCCTCACTATTATTTTTTAAATAAACTGTGAAAGAAGCAAAATACCTAACTTTTCAAATACATGCATATTAATTAAATGGATGTTTTCAGAATATTCAACATAAGACAAAATACTATTAATTATTTGGGCAAATAGATAACTAAAGTCTAAAATGATTGGGAAAATCGAAGAAGTTAAATAATGATAGCTATTGGTGGTATTTTTACAAACTCCCAGAGGATGAAATTCTTTGGAGAGAAAAGTATGAATGCTGAGTTTTGTTGCAACAGACTTCTTTATCTATAAAGCTGGGTGTATGTTCTATGGTCTCAGATATCATGCAAGGTTCTGTTATATGAGGGAATGCTACAGGCCAGAAGGAGAATCTGCCTTTTCAGCATAACCTGAGACTGGTTATCATTTTCTCTGGATTTTCATTTTATCATAACTTTGAGCTCACACCTCAGGCAGAAATGTGGGTACACTGTACCAACTGAGAGTCTGCTCAGTTTCAAATCTGGGCCTCTAATACTACACCATGTTTCCATATGGACTAATTTAAAAGAAACAGAATACTCCTGTGACTGCATAGGTATAAATTGTAGTTTTGAGTTGTTATTTAATAATTTGTGCTAAGAAATGGGATGAAACACTAGGGAAATAGTCAACATAGAGAGTTTGGAAAATAAAGTAAGAAACAGGATGTAAATAATTATCATTTAACATGGAATTATATATTTTATTGATCCCACATCATTTCATGGTTATACTTTTAATGAAGTAATCATTGTTCAATAGCATATTTGTTCATAACCAATGATTCTAGAGTCCTGAATTAAAATCACTATGCATCATGTATAAAGAAACTTTGGTAAAGGATAGCGTCTTTGTGTAGAACTTAGATGAGTTGTGAGGCACACTACAAATCAATTTTATATATTTGAATTGAAACACTTAAGTTGATAAATTCCTTGGATATAGGTTAAAGAACTCTTAGGAGCTAAAGAAAACCTCACATCTGAAAACTGTTAGCATTCTATACACAGAATTCCCAAACTATCTATTTTTTACAGGTCCTACAGAAACAAACTTGGAACTCTCCTTCAGACATTTGTCTGCCATCATTCAAGAGAAAATGCAATTTTCACAGATTCAGATCTTTTTTTTCTTTCCTTACATTTTACATTGAGGCTACAGTTTATTTTTTTGATTCATGCAGAATAAAGTCAACGAAATGCAACTAATATCTTTTTAAACATTTTGTGTGTGTGTGTGTGTGTATGTGGTGTGTGTGTGTGTGTGTGTTTTTGTGTGTGTTGCAATTGAATGCCACAGCATGGATGTAGAGAGCAGAAAACAACTTTCAAGCATCAGTGTTCTCATTTCACCATCTAAGGCCCAGGAACTGAACTCAAATGTCAGGCTAGGCAGAATGTGCCTTTACTCACTGAGCCATCTCACCAGTCAATAACTGAATGTCAGAAGTGGAGTCTATTGCAATGCCCCAGGGAGCACTACAGATTTTAGTGTAATTTTTGGATATACAGTTCACCTATGGGCAAAGATCACTGTGGTCCTTGACCTGGCATTAAGAGCTACCACCTAGGGATGCACTGGAATATTTGAAGTATGGTACTGGGACCAGAGAAGATCTAAGTCAGTGTTGCAATCCAGAGAACCACAAAGTGACTCCTGTGACTATTAAATGCCCCAGAGCACAGGCATGCTGCAGGCAAGCACAACTACAAGCACAGCTAATCACAAAATTCCAGGACTTTATGGAGAATCTACTAATGCAAAGCTAGTCTCACACATAATTCATCCAAAAGTTTGTGGTCAAATACACACACACACACACACACACACACACACACACACACACACACATACACTACCAGGAAGCTTTAGGATTTCAGATCTTCTGTCTAAAAATGGTTGGTGCATAATCAGAGATTTAAAATATAACATAGGATTTCCCTTAAACAAATAGTACTAAGCCAATGGCTAGTCAGCAATGTGCTTGCTGTGCAAGCATATGGACCTGAGTTCAATTCCGAAAACCTATGTAAAATGTCAGACAAAGTGGTAGCAACTATTAATCTAAGCACTCGCAGCACAAACAGAAATATCACTGGAACTCACAAGCCAGAATGTTTAGCTTAATTGGTGTTTGTCAGACCACGGGAAACTCTGTCTCAAAAGAGGCAAGTGAAATTCCAAGGAATGATACCTGAGATTATTATACTCAGATTTCTGCACACATATTCACATGAACTATGCATATATACACTTTTTAATTACAAGGAAAATCAGCAGGTCACTTAAATTATTAGTTTATATTTATGACATCATACCAGGGAAACATGAATTGCCTAGGGAAGTAATTACTGGTTACTAACCCAGTCCAAAGCTATAATTTCACAAATGTGGTGTGATCCATGGTGACTTATGAAGGGACCAGTATTCAGCACAAGATACCCCAAGATCAAGTTCTCAGAACAATAAGAGATTTATTTGCCACAGAGGAACAAAGGACAAGGAATAAGAAACAAATACAGGAGATAGGGGACAAGGGAAAAGGGGAAGGGGACAAAGGAAGGGAGGAAGGGGTATTTGTCCCAGAGGGACAAAGAACTGCCTCTGGATAGAGAGGAGAGAGATGTGACACATAGGCAAATGGCCATTTATAAAGGCAAAGAAGGAAACCCTGTGTTAGGATGAGTTGTTTAATTTTAAATGGTCATGATAATTAGATGAGCCAAAGGGGACTTCTGGTTGCTGAGCCTCAATATTTTGATAGCTGGACCTTGGATGTCAACCTCCTGTGGAGGGAGGGAGTGGACAAATAATGGAATAGTGGCTAGCTTTAGTAATGTAATCTAATGGTTTTTAGAAAGACAGAGGGAATGGGGGAGAAGGGCAAGGCCTGCCTGAGCCATGTTATCGAATGATCTATGTCCCTTTAGACTGCCTTTTATTTTGTTGTTAGGAAATAATGGAAATGAAGTTAAATTTCCACAAATAGTTTTGAGATCTGAGTCCATATAATTGCTTGAAGGTCCATATTCCTTAAAAGATGCATAATCCAATGTAACAGAATAAACAAAAAGCAGGGATAAACCTAAACATGTCACATGTCTACTCAGTTTTCAAAAGGGCATCAGGCAGACACCATAGGAAAAGGAGTGCCTCTTCACCTATCTTTCTAGGATGGGTGTAAAGGAATGACACTGAGCATGTATCTCACTTCATTTACCAAAGGCAGCACAGAATGTATAAAAGACTTAAACTGAGACTTAAGTCCACAGCATTTCTGAATTTCCAGAGGCAAAACTCCTTGACATTGTCCTTGGCAACAATTTTTTGGATTTTCTCCAAAGCTCTGTTACTACAGCATGAAACTGAAACTGAAAACTCCAACAGTAAAGTTGTTGTAAAAGCTTACTTTGTAAGAGGTAAACAATGCATGTTTTCTTGATATGATCTCATAAATATGAGCCAATCATGTCAGTCAATCCAAAACGAAAGACAGCTACAGATTGGAGAAAATATCTGCAACCGATGAATCCGATAAGAGGTTGATGTTCAAAACACATAAAGAACTCAGAAAACTCACTATCTGAAAAAATGAATTATCACCCAGTACAAAATGGGAAAATACTGTAAATAGAATTTACTCCAAAGACATAAAAGTGATCAATATCCCTAATCATTGTGGAAATAAAACTCAAGCCACAATAAGAGATAAACTCCCACATGGGGGTTGGCTGTCATAAGACCCACCAAAGCCCATCTAAGTGAACCCATGAGTTTTATTGAGGTTTCTTATAGGAATATGAATGAGAGGTTATTTACAGAAGCAGAAATTAATCAAAGACAGTTGCATCATCAAAGCCTATCCCATCAAGGGTGGAAGTTCTCAAAAGCTGGGAATCAGGAGCGTACTGCACAGCCTTCAGACAGCTCAACAGGTTGAGAGAGTGGGAGGTATGAGCCTGGTCAGGGACTTCCTGAAGCTGTTTTGAGTTGTTTCCTTGCTCTCTTAAGGATATTCCCTGCAGGATAGAATGTTTCAATCTTTCGTACACAACACTTCATGAGTATTTCTTTAGCAAATGTGTGTATGGTGTGTGTGTGTGTACATATACAAATATATTTAGTGTGTGTGTATGTCTGTGGAAGTCAAAACTTGATATTTGGTGTCTTCTTTGATATCCTTGTTATATATTAAGGAAAATGGCCAATTTAATTAGTCTAGGTACCAAGCTCAATAAAGAAATTCCTTATCTCCACCTTCAGAACACTGGGATTACAGTGGGCGATCATATTCATCCATCTTAGACATCTTTCCTATATCTCAAGCCATCACCCTGCCTCTGATACCACTATTGCCAGGAAAGGCACCAGTCATCACTTTTGAGGACAGCACAACTAGTAACTGACATACCTATCATCCAGTACTTGACACCTATTCTATATAGTTAAATTCATGACTAATAGAAATAATGCAACCTCTAAGATACCACCAAAGCTGCTTCCAGAGCCAGCCCCACAGTCACTATCATTAATTTCAGGGTAAATCTGAATTTGCAACCACATAGAAGTTCTCAAAACCATGAGAGTTACTCAAGGGGTGACCACTTCTATTCTAAGTACTAGAACAAATAACATTTTCTGCCCATAATTTCACCACTGCCACTCATACCCCTGTTGATGTTGATCCTGATAATTATATTACTGACATCAAAGAGCATATCTACAACCCTGAATATTATGGCTCTGCCTCTGGATATGAATGTGATGTAAAACTGGAATCATAAACTGTTACTTGCTTATCTCAAGTGCCACTATTCCTAAACAAAATGCTTCAGAATGGGCACTGATAATAGTACTCGGAAATTGCACAATGTACCTGACTGTTTTACCTAATAATCTGGATTCGTATTATGAAATTAATCCCCACTAATAGAGAGGGTTTCTCTTCTCTTAGACACTTGGAGAATATTGTAATATAGGCCCAAAGAATTATAAAAGTTTAGCCATGGATTTCTACCTGCACCATATTGTCATGCATATTTCACAAATTTCTTATAGATTTTGGGAGATTGTTCTTATATATTTCAGGATTCATTAACTGAAAATATTGTTCAATAATATAATATTTACTTGACTTTCAGGCTGATCGAATATACTAAGTTGATACAGTCACTTCAACATTCATTGTGAGCATCTGTGATATTTGTGAGAGTTGCTATATTATTTGTGACACAAAAGACAGTATACAGATAATTTTTATGGCCTAATGGAGTTCACAAAGAAGGGAAAACACATCTTATTATCCCTGGAACTAATGAATCAACACAAAAACGTTTTATAGACTGAGAAGCCAGGTCAATATTTAGCAGGGAAAGTATTGTGAAAGGGTAGTGTTTGAAGAAAAAGTAGAATTTTCACTTTCTACACTTCCTGATTTGAAGCATACAGTTAGTTACTTAATTTGCATTCCACTTTACTAACTTAATAGTTTTTGTTTCCCATGAGACAGTCCTAAGTCCAAGAGCTCCCTCTTTAGGCAATTTTGAGCATAAAGATGGATGCCTGGTTCTGAGGTTCCAATTGCTGTGAAGGTTTCAGGCCGCCCTGATTGACAAATCAACCCATGATAATGCAGTTACTTTAACACAGAAAATCAGAGTGACATTATAAATAATACATGATGATCATGATAAGGTAACAAGTAAGAAAATAGAACACTCATAGAGAAGGGCTTTAACACAATTAATGAGAAATTAGAACCTATAATAACTAAAAAATAGGTAGGAGCCTGTCATTTAAATTATGTTTTATAAAGTAAAGGTGCAACATAAGTTATATAAGCTTATATAAAATTTTAGGTGTGAAAGACATCTATAATCATAACTAAAGTAAATGTAGCCAGTTAACATATTCCACTTTAAGGAAATATCAAGTTTATATACACAATTGATAGTTTTACAAATTTTAGTACTTTTTTGTTTTCTAAGTTTTCTCTATCATGATCATGAAGTTCTATGCAAAGCAGGTGAGCCAACATGTAAAACATATATACTTAATAAAATCTATCATGTGTAAATAGCTAGAAATAGGCCCTCAAGTGAGTTTTAAAATTTTTTATTAAAATTTAAATTTAAAACAATCTTATTTTGCATGCCAATCCCAGTTTCCTCTCCCCCCAACTCTCCTACTCCCCCTACCATCTCCCTATTCCATGCCCTATCCACTATTCAGAGAGGGTTAGGCTTCCCATGGGGGATCATCAAAGTCTGTCACATCATTTGGGGCAGGACCAAGTCCCTCCCCCATGTATCGAGGCCAAGAGAGTATCCCTCCGTAGTGAATGGACTCCAAAAATCCAGTTCATACACTAGAGTTAAATACTTGTTCCACTGCCAGTGGCCCCATAGACAGCTCAAGCGCCCCAACTGACACCCAGGTTCAGTAGGCCTGGCTCAATCTTCTGCAGATTCCCCAGGTGTCAGTCTGGAGTCTGTGAGCTCCCACTTGCTCAAGTCAGCTATTTCTATGGGGTTCCCCAACATGCCATGTTTGGGAAATTCTATTAATTTTAATGATGATTTTTAATATGTTCTACCTATTACAATAACAGCCATGTTCACTAACAGTCAGTTAAGTTAGTTAAGTTACTTCAACAAAGTATGTAAACCAGGCTGAGTCCAATAAGTCACAGCATTCCTTGAAAACATGTTATGGCCCTTTGGTTGGTCTCTGCCCTATCAATCCTCATACCAAGGATATGATGTGATTTTAAGTCCAACTACTTCATGACCTACATTTTCTAGTCTCCCTTTATGATTTAGATAGATAGAGATATGTAATCATATAATAATATAATTATATATAATTATCTATATACACATATATATTATGTATATATTTGAGAATGAGTCAAATTTCCCCAAAAAATAACACTATCATTCACATTTTCAATAAAGAGGTCAGCACCAATGAACCTAAAACTAAAGCCAGAATAAATAGACAAGTTCAGTAGGTATGAATGCTCTACCAGAGGCCCAAGTCAGTTCACAGCACCAACGCTGGGTGGCTCACAGCTGCAAGTAACTCTGGCTCCCGAGTATCCAAGACCCTATTCTATCTTCAATGGGCACCCCCACACACATGCTGGTACCCCTGGACACAAACACACACAAGTACACAAAATTAAAAGAAAATAACACCAAACCTATTTTTAAGTAAGGTGACCATAGAATTTTTTTGAGAAATTCAGTTAACTGGATATAAGTAAAGGATAACACTGCCAATGAATAAAGAGAAAAATGGGATTTGTGATAAGGTAGGCAAGATAGAAAATTATAGAGAGTCTAGAAATAGCAGTCCTTTTCTAAAATTTTGAGTATAAATTATTAACTAGCAAAGGAGGCAGTCTAAAAGCTTGGAGATATTGACAACAATCTTCAAAATAAATGGTTCTATTTTCCATATTATCTGAAAATTGAGAATTGGGCTTAGAAATTAAATTGACTAGTAATAGTCGTGTGATTTTAAGATAAACAAACCTAATTACTTATTAGAAATACTATATTTCTAAAATTTTAGAAGTCACAAGAAGGCTATTACTGGAAAAATCATAAAGGGAGAGTGTCAAATGTAGGAAATGAAGTGATTGACACCCTTTTATGAGGTTTGGTACAGAAGAGAATAGCAAGGGCCATTAAAATAGTCCATGTGAAGGATGACAGTTTGCATGAGAAAGTTGTAAAAGAGGATACTGGAGGTTTTTAAAAGACTTCCCTGTTTATCAACTGAGTATAAAGGGTGGGAGTCAGAATGATTAAAGATTTTAGACAAAGAAAAACCTACTGGGAAAAGCTGCAGCTAGTGATTTTAGGGAAAGGAATATCAAGAGTTCCATTTAAGAATATTGTATTTTTGAGATGCTTATTCGGTAACTTAACAGAAAGGTCAAGCAAACAGTGGAGGGTGTAGGACTGGACAAAGCCAGTAACTGTAGATGTAACCCTTGGTAAGATGACTTTCAAGCCCACTAACCACCTTTCAGTGAGGGTCAAATATCAAGCTCTGGGCACCCTACATTTTAGAAGCTTCTCAATAAAACCTTATCTGTCATTTTAGCAATTTGAACCAAATTTTCTCTTTAGTTAAAAGAGAATGTTGGTGTTCACATTAGGGAAGAGTTAAAGGGGTAAGAAAACACACTAACATGTGGCCCCTGTTTCCCTCAAACATTATCAGTCATTCAGATTCCAAGAGGAAGATTCAGTACGTAGAGAAAGGCAAAACCAAAGAACAAGATGCTTCTCTCAGAAGGCTATTAAACTGAACACTATTTTTTTCTGATGTCATAGAACAAGGAACCATTCATCCCTTCTTGGCTATGTCCCCTTATCTAAAAAAGCAATGATTTTAAATGTCACAGCAGGGCATGTAGAGATCATTGTGCTTAAGCAAATGGAAAACTTCTGGGAAGAAAACAAATCACTGTGCAAGCCGGATCAATGTGACACTCTGTAGTGCACGTGGCCTTTCTGGTTTGAACCTGATGACCTCAAACCTCATGAAGAGGTAGCATTGTGTATTGTTGTGTTACTGGCATGTCGATCATATCACTGACAATCCAACGTAAGCCAGTAATAAAGTTCATAATTGAAATATGAATGTGCTTAAGGGAGTCCAGAAAAAACAAGGTCACTCCCTGCCATTCGGTTTTCTATTAGCATGGTTATTAAGTGATATATTGTTAGTGCTAAGACCAGAACCCAAAATTATTGCTAAATATCTTTAGTAAGCAGGAAAATGGAATTTACAAATTCTGGAAATATAAAATGTAAAGTTACATGAACATCTTCCATACAAATCAATAGGTAAGCAGTTAATGCCTTTCAATACTTAAATTAGCCTTTAAGTTGTTAACCACTTTTACAAACTACTTAGCAATACATTGCACGTATTAATAAGGCTTTCTCACTTAAACCCAATAATATCCTAATTCTGAATTGAGACACTGTTAACGAATTTTTAAATATAAAATTAAATGAAGTCAAAGAGCTGCCAAGGGGCAGGATTTAAACAAAGATTTAATTCCCAGGAAAATAGTCTCCCATTTTACAATCTCTTACTGTGATAAAAATTCAAAAACAATGATAAATGCCTACACCATCACTTCCTCAGCGCACAATGTTCATCATCTGTCCTGGCTAGTGACTAAAGATATGTTTACACGTCAAAGTGGTAAATGATGTTGAATGTAATTTCAGTCATACAAAGGAAGCTTTATATAGTTAAGAATTGTATGCCCAAATCTCTAAAGCAAGAGCAAATAATTCTGATATTCAATTTCAAATAAGAGCAAGAACAACTAAATTTCTTGAATTAAAGCTATTGTAAATATATTTAAAGACTAGACAAGTTTTTATTTTAATATTTTGATGGTCTCATACAATGAGTATCAATTCTATGAAAATAATAAGAAAGTGTATTAAAGCAGAAATAGATATCATTAACATGTTAAAACCATTGAATATGTTATAACAATTGCTTTTCAATAAGTATGGTTGCAAAATGATACTTTTCACTGATAAGGTTTTTCAAAAAAAAAGAGCAAAGACATACAAATTACAGAATAAATTTTAACAACAGCAGTAAATTTTCACATTCTACTATGGACAAGTAAAGATTTACAAGAAGAATAACTGCAAAGGGAAATTCTTTTCTTCAAGAAATATCTATTTACTTACCCTGTTGCTACCTTTGCCAGGTCAACCTGGAGCAATCCCATCCACACACTTGTTTTCTTCCAACCTAGGTTTTATCCAACCATAGAAAAATGAAATACATAGGAGTTAAATTAACTTATTAAGTTGAGGAATCACACACTCACTCACACACACACACACACACACACACACACACACACACAGCATCTAGAAACGTGGGCAAACTATTCCATGGTAGACAACAAAGAAATGTCCCCTAATCTAATGTCAAACTACTATTGTCAAATTCTGCTGCTAGGAATTGTGTGGGTCAAGATAGAAATTGGTATCACTACATTTAGCTCATTGTTACCATTATTAAGAGCAATAAATAGATTTCCACTCAGTCCATAAGGATGCAAACAAATTATTCAAATAGTTTCCAGAACCAGATTATTTGCTTTGCTGAAACTGGACCCTCACGTTTAAGCACTATATTTTATATTTTAATATCTTTGAGAGACTCATTAAATAATTTTCTTTGGGTTTTCATCTTAATTATGCGTAACTCACTAGCGTTATTTGTTTTTTGAGACACAGTCCCTCTGCGGGCAGCCATGGCTATCTTATAGCTCACTGTGTAAACTAGGCTGGTCAAAATACACAGATATCTACCTGTCTCTACCTCCTGAGTGCTGGAATTAAAATCTATAGATTCAACTATCCTTCAACAATATACACCTCAACAATATGCAACAATGTCATTGAGACGTCCTACTCTTATATTTTTTCTCTTCTTCCTTATTTCATAGAAAATTTATTTTCACATTTTAGAGCTAGTATCAGACTTTTACTGAATAGAATGAAATATTTTCTTTAAAAAATTAATTATTCACAATTTATTTCTAATGAAGTTACTTTTGATTACATTAGACTATGGGCAAAATATTACCTTTCATATCCACAGACCCAAGTGTCTTGTTATAATAGCCTCATTGCTACTTTGTTTACTGTTACTCAGAATGTAAACACCTTTACTCAATTCACAAGGCAAACAGTAATAAGTAACTAAAAGTTTCATATACAGTAGCAAAACTTCAGTCTGATTTTGAAAATAGATCCAAGTTTAATTTCTCCAAGTCCAATTTTGTTTTATACATGTAATAAAACTATTAAATTATCAGTACAAATTGTCTTGTAACCTAATAGTCTAATTTTTCTATTTAATTGCAAAACTTACAAAATTTCCTTAAAAGTTCTTTTTCCCCAAATGTTAATGCGTTCATTACACAGAACATACATCCACATGAGGAGGCCAGGTTCTCCCAGTTTTTAAAGATTCTGAGGAAGAAAGCAAATTTACAGATACATACAAAGCACACTGTGGAGTTCAAGGGACAGCAATAGTCTAAGGTGGCAGGCGGGAACAGCCAGAACGGGAAGATCTGTCCTATGCAACCTGGATGCCTCTCTAAGAGCCTCTGTGTCTACAGTGACTCGGCTTGCTCACTTTCCCCAAGGACTGAGAGTCAAGACCTTCCTGCGTTGGGCACACGCACATTCTATGCACACTCAGCTCACCTCTCTTCCTGCTGTCCACCCTCCAGTGAAGCAATGTAAGTGGAGGCCGCTCCCTGAAAACCCATGTGCATGTCTGCATCGGGTGTTCAAAATGTGGGAATACACATTGAGATCATTTTCCCATTTTAAAATGTTTATTATTTTCAACCCTCCAAAGCCCACTTCTATCTTACAGCCTCCACAGAATTAGATGGCAAGTTGGCCTGGTGGTTACTGATACCCAATACAGAAGAGAAGCACACCCACAAGAGACAAGCTTATTCTGATAGCTTCCCATGATAGAGAGTTTAGAGAGGGACATCTTAAAAGTTCTTTTAATCCTGGTTCATTATCAAAATCTTATTTATCCGAAGATGGTGATAGCCAGAATAATAACAGATGTCATCTTACATAAATCTTAAAAATATGTGACATGATAATTATGCTGGATCTTTACTCAATGACAACTTTCTTCAGAGTTTAGTGGCAGCAGCCATATCAGACTGCATAAGACAGCAGGAAAGACAACCATCAGATGACCAGGCCAATATTGCATCAGTACTAAAAGTTCCCTCTATCCTCGCAGCTCAATGGAAGTCCTATTTGCCCCATCACTCTAAGTGTCAACAAAAGGCTCTCTTCTCTTCACTTGTTAGTGTCCAACACCATGTCACTATCAAAAAAACAACTACTCACCTGCAAAGTATAACCAAGAGATGAAATTAATGTTTTCAGTTATCCCACAGCCAACATCTACAATCCAGACAAAGAAAGGCTACAGCGTCATTGGCACCATACTTACCCATTCCTATTGACACATAGCAGTCCCTCAAGTATGCAGGGTTCTACAAATCACACTCACAGAAAACAAAACTTCTGACAAGGCCCACAAGCATCCATCCAGTGCCACAATCTGTAAGTCCCACCATTCTTGGCTCTACTAAGTATTGTCAGCAGTGCTGTGTCCAATGTAAATTTCCTGGCATTTGCCACAACTAAATCAAAGGCTACTGCAGCTCAAGCTTCTAATACTAATGCCAAGACACCAGAAACACTGTCACTAATAATTTCCAGCACAATCCTAGCAACATAGGCCACTAAATCAGCAGTAAAAGCTATATCCTCAATGCCTGTTTCTTCTGCACCCACCACACATCCATACTAGCCTCAGTGCTACCCGCAGTAGAATCCATGCACCAAGGAACTGCTCCTTCAGTCCACTACATGCTCAAATGCAGGGACTAGCTCACCATGCTCCTGGACTCTGCTTCTATCACTGCATTTGATTTTAACACAAGGGACTTAGAAACTGGTACAATCACAAAACATAACACCACCCATTTGGCCACAGATTACCTCACCACTCAAACTGACCCTGTAAACATATTTCATTAGAGCTACAGAGATTTGTTGTTGTAAATGGCCAATATTTGAGGTCTGATATTACATTTATTACTGACTATGATGGCTGTTCCTTCCCATCAAGTTGGCCAGGTTAAGCATCACCTTTCTTTGTGAAGTACAACTCTGAGCATGGCTGTGAGTCTCTGTCAATGATTTAATCATTGGGACTCTAATCATTGATGGATTTATGTAATACATCTGGAAAGTAGTGAAAGGTAGGAGAGGTAGAGCCAAATTAGAGATAGGAAATCACCTGGGGTAAGCCGTTGGGAGCTATCTTTTCCCTGGCTTCCTTCTGTATTCCTGCCTTTCTGCTTCATGGCCACATAATGTGAACTACTTTGTTCCACCACAGGCTTCCTTCCATGATAGGCTGATATCTGAATCTGTGAGCTAACCTGCTTAGGCTGTTTCATATACTCAGTCTCGGAGACAAGAAAAGTTACTGACACAGAAAACTTGTACCAAAGACCCAGGTCTCACTGTCACTAAATTCAACTTACTACATAAGTTTTAGGCCTTTGGAACAGGTCTGCAAGAAATATTTGGAAATATGGAGAAGTAGGAAGCAAAGGTTCGTGGTGACTTGGAGCATTTAGAAAAGCAGAAATATAGACAGTGAAGACCAGAGCCAAGAGGCTTCAGATGAGAATAGGGACCACACTGAAGACTGAACTAGAACCCATGCCTGCTACATTCTAACAATAGTGAATGAGGCAGGAAGGCTTCTCTCTACAAAGTGTGTCTACATTTCTTCACCAGTCTTAAGAATTTGTGGGAGCATTTCTGGGAACCTACTTTAAAGGTGACAAGCTAATTTAGGGAAGGACATCTCAAAGCAAGAAAGCACCAGATCGGTTGCCACTGGCTGGCTTTCCATGAGAATCCCCAACATAGAGCAGAGAGAAAAGTTTGAAAACCATGCAGTTTCTCTCAAAAAGAAGCACATGTAAAGTTACAGGCAAAGAAAGCACAATAGTTAGAAAGATAAGTGGTATAAAACAAGCTGGAATTGGTATGTCAAAAAAACTGCTTTAAAAAAATAAATAAAAATAAAAGGCCATTCTACCAGGAAAAAAATAGAAGCTGAGTACCTTACATTGGGAATAGACAATATAAAAGATGTCTTAAAGATACCTTGAGAATTTACCACCCACCAAAGATTTTAGGGTATGTAGTAAACTCATTTTAAACACTTTCCCTGGAAAAGAGAGCTCCTCATACAGGGCCACACCAAGAAGTATTTTCGAAGGTTCATTCATCCAGACATCCAGAGCCATGGTCTGCCTAACTGTAAGAACTGGCTGGTGGTTCCGGCATTGCTCACAAAACGTTGTTTTTTTCAGAAAACAGTAAAGGACACAATATTGGAATATGAAGGATGCTGTTTGTCTCCTAAACTTTCTGGGAAAGCAAAATATTGTAGTCTTCACTCTTCACTAAGAGAACTTCTCTTTGCTACACAGACCACTGCAGGGAACAGCAATCGATCAAAATGCAGGCTTGTATAGTTCAGTCGCCCCCCCCCCCGGTAAACTACACAAAACACACCCTTATCTCAGGCTCAGGAACACTGTGGAAGAAGGGGTAGAAAGATTTTAAGAACCAAAGGACCAAGGAGTTGGCTGTGAGGTTTTGTCTCCTACTAATGTCAGAAGTCACACCTAGCCTCACCAATGTCTGCCCAAACTTGAATTAAACAGGGAAACAACAATGAGTAGAAAGGGCCTCAGGTAGCCTCAACCTAAGCAGAGAACTACAGTAGACTAAGGAATGCTGAGAGCAGGGAAGCACATAACAATTGATCATCCAATGCCAAATGAAAATATACATACAAGTAACATTATACAAACTAAGCAGTTTATATTTAGGAGTATGTAAGTATATATATATATACATATATATATATATGAATGCAATAACAATTAATGAATTAAAAGGCCATGAATTTTAAGTACTTTTTTAGACATGGTATTTGGGGACAGATGGGCAAGTTGTTCTGAGATTTTCTTTTCTGGTTATCAGATAAGAATCAGGCTGGTGGAGGGACAAAGGAGGAGGGGTGGGAGAGGGGGCTTGGATTGACATGTGAAACATTCATGTTTCTAATTTAAATTTAAAAATTACAAAAAAGAATCATATATTAGCAATTTGCCTATTTTTCAAAGCAATCTGATAGAAATAAATTAATGACATGTCAAATTATACAACCATTTAAAGGGAATATTTGAAGTTTAATTTTCAGATGGTTTTAGATTCAAGTTGGTATTTTCCCAAAGTCCTTAGCTTCCAACCTCCTTCCTCCTAGTCCAATGTTCAATTAAAATAAGAACCATAAACCTAAAACAATACTGATTTTCTAAAAGATATTGTCCTGATAAGTGTAAGAGAGGAAAGAGGTAAATTTCATTACAAGTTAAATCAGTGGAACAGTTATAATTATATGTATTTTGTTTCACTTTAAAGTGATTACTTCAATTCTCAAAAAACAATACAGCATATTGTTTATAACACACGCTTTATTATGATATTGATTATCAAGCACATACCTAGTGATTCAAGGGCAACCAAGCTCTGTATTCCAAACTACATGGTACTTAGAAGAAAATAATAGAAGGAGAAATTTTATTCAAGAGAAATAGCTGAAGGGAAGCATGCACACTTGCTATGTAAATGAATTTGGGTTATATAATAGTAGCCCAATAGGTGTCAAGGTCAAGCCAAGGCTTTCTGACTCTGATATTAGAGTTCTTTTTATTAATTAATCTTTAAAAGTCATTACACTATTTCTCAGTTACAGGTGAAAATCATCTCTACTTACCATACAAATGTAAATAGCAACTGAACAATGATTCAGAAAGCAGATTGGCAACTACTTAATGTATATTCTTAAAGTTTGGGAGAACTGTAAGTCCTAAGAGTATAAGAAAATGGTTGGGGGTACAATGGGATAGACAAATTTTGTAAATTTCTCTAACATAGACACCTTGAATTTAAAAGCTTAAGAGTATTTTTGTTCCAAAGGAGAAAAGAACTCATACTCTTAGGATGTGGTTTCCAACACTGATCTCTTTATTTACATTCACTTCAGAAAATGGAAAAATATGTATAAATGTAGTTGATAAGACTTCAAAACATTTGGAACCTTTAACCACATATAAATTTTCTAAAACAACAAGAAATTAAACTACAGTTTTCAAAAATGAGTGATGAATATAAAAGCCTTTGTGATAATTTGCGATGGTTGTTAATTCTTATTACTCCCAACAAAAACATAGATAAGAAAGTTTGTAGTGTTTCTAGAATAAGAAAGAACAACTGCTTCAGGATTAAACAGCAATAATCGACAAACACATTATTTTTTGTAGACTCTCCTCCGAACCACAACCAATAGAGGGAAGGTAGGAGGGACATAGAGAAGGCAGGCTTGCTTTATTAGAGGAACACTCCACTAGTTAGTTCTTTATCATCAGACATCCCATCTTAGAGGCACTGAGTGAAGCAAACCACGGAGGT